CTGGCCTTTGTTCTTACCTACTCCCGCCAGAGATATCTCGTGAAATCCTGCAGGAAATGTTCTCGCCGTGAAAATGTAAAGAGGACGAGATGTCTGTTTATACACGAGTAATGGAGCGCATTGCATGCCGGGATGAGCTGCTGCCGGCCTCCGAGCTCCGTTTCGAGGCCCGCCACGCCAAGCACAATGCGCGCGGGCATGACGTCACGCACACACGACTACAGCGATCGATCGAAAGTAGCGTCATTAGGGGTTTTCGGATCATGTTGTCCTCTTTACATTTTTACGGAGAGAACATTTCCTGCAGGATTTCACGAGATATCTCTGGCGGAGGTAGGTAAGAACAAAGGCCAGAGTTATAATTCGAACAAGTGAACACTTATGTACACATAGATACCAAGATGGGAGCTGTTGGATGTGTTTTGGTTCTGTGATCGTGTGAAATGAAGCGAGTGTCGAGCGTATTTCGCGATCACGCTTTCCTACCTGCTCTCTTATTCATGTTGTTTGTGCACGCAGCACAGGGCGGGCGTGCGGTGTACTTGTGTGTTGCATATGAGCATTTGACCGGCATTTACAGGTGATCATAGGCGAAATAGAGTAGAGAAACATTAAGACTTTGGTACATTTCGTGTTTTTTTACCATTAATTTTTTTTATTGAGACATTCCAATTGCCTGAGGGGGCGTGCGGTGTACTTGTGTGTTGCAGATGAGCATTTGACCGGCATTTTCAGGTGATCATAGGCGAAATAGAGTAGAGAAACATTAAGACTTTGGTACATTTTCGTGTTTATTTACCATTAATTTTTTTTATTGAGACGTTCCAAGTGCCTGTGGTCGGACCAGATTACTATTAGTATCAGGCAGTGGTGTAGCCAGGATTGTTTAAGAGCAGGTTTCTCCAAGCTTTTAAATTATAGCATGGGGTGGTACTTAGTGCTAGTGGTGTCCGGGAAAATTTTTGAATTGTAGAAGCTCTGAGATGCAATCTGGGACACTCTGTGTGTAAATTTGAAGCACTGCATGTGGGGTGAAAATGTTTGTTTTGCATGGGCAAAGCCATCGGAAAATTCAAAATAATTAATGGAATAAAAATACCAAAATGTAGAGGTGAACTGGCTGGTTTGCTGGTTCAAATTGAGTTCACCTCTCATAAATAAATAAAAACAATTTTGTCACCATTGACAATGGCAGGAGTGGTCGGTAAGTGTACCAGTCTACTCTACCTCGTGTTAGACTGGGTTACCTGCCCCGTAATAATGCCGTTGGAAATTGGAGAGCATACGTACCTCAACTGACAAAAGCCTGCAGAGGTTCATTTACCAGCGATAGCTGATACAACGCGCCGGGAAACAACATTTGTTTTCCTTAGGATCCATATCAAGTTAGATATATTTTATACATTTGAATTGTCTTTTACAAATCTTATCTGGGGGAGACCCCTTACCCCTTGACCCTGGAAACCCCCTCTACCCCCTAGCAGAAAGGGGGCTCCACCCTTCCTACCCCCCGGCAATCACAATGCTCGTCAGTTATGTGGCCTATTAAGACTGGCTTTGGCCAGTACTAGCAGGGTGCTACAAATTTTCTTTTTTCACTTGCACCGGTCGGGCAAGTGGGTTATGAAACTGGTTAGCCCGAAGCGCAAATAGCTCACATTCGCCCGAAAAACAAAGAAGAAATACATACGCATTTTTTCTAATTATGAATTTAAATGGTTTCAAGAGCCCGGTTCAAGCCGTAGCTCACGATCGAAGAAACAGCACACAAAACTTGATCTCCTTATAAGCATCATACAGGTATAAACCTTTATTTAAAAAAATATTGCTGAAAGACAATAGGCAATGAAAAGCCTTGATAAAGGCCCATCTATAGCATGTTAGTAACTATGTCATACAAACATCACCTTCACTCTACTCAACAATCACAGTCATAAAAAAGAAATGCCCAAAGATGGCGTACACTTGGTGGAGATGAGAGCCATGAGTGCAGGCGCTGCATGAGTGCTTTATGCTCCTATCGAGAATTGGCGTTCAGCTTCGAGACTAGTTTTGTTTGTTTGTCGACCCTACATGGTGATTGCCCATCCCTCAACCAACGAGCCACTACGCATTAGTTGCATCAAACTCTGCAAGACAACCTAGCTGCCTCTAGCATGCATGCAGAAAAGAATGGAACCAGGGAACAATTGCGCAGCCAGCCAGGGAGGTGACGGGACTGGCCCAGGGGTGCCTCCACAACCAGGGGCCACACACAACCACGCGCCTCCACATATTAATTTCATTTTAAAAAAATTGTAAGGAAATAATATGTAGGGCCTTGACCTGAACGACACGCACGTAGAAAAGTCAAAACCATAATTGCGGCGTTTTACGTACATACGATGGATGATACATAACGCAAGCCATGTATTTTTTATTGTATGATATGATTATATTATAACAAAATATTATTCATGTGATGACACAGCTCGCAGTAGTTTTAATTTTTTAATTTTTTCAAGTGTCGGTTTATTTATCAGACAAGTGGCCGCGGAGCGACAGCGCCTCATCTACGGTCACTGCGGTAGCTCTGTGGTGGTGGTGGGATTCTCAGTAAACCCTGTTTTAGTCCCAAATGTGTTCACATAACACGCCGAAAACAGTGGAATGCACAGGGATGCGTATCAGGCAACCCTTCTTTAAGTCGACTACGTCCGAATTTTCTACTGGCTAAAATTTTGTAAAACAAAAAATGCCATTTTTTACATTAAAATAAGAACGAACGTAACTAAATATTATCTCAAACCTCTCACCCTGGCATAAAAATGTTTTTACTCGTTGTGCGTTAAATTTGCAAAATCTAGATGATTTGGCTAATTTCGGTTGTTCTAACAGCTATTTCCCCAGTTACTGTTCAGATACTGGCGTCTCTCTGTTTTTTCACAGTCAAATTTTAGCGGCCATATAAAGAAGGTATATAAGCATGACAAAGTATAAAAACAGGAAACACTATTGTTATTTTCATACATTTTATTTTTGTACAAATAACACACAAATGTACTACTGAATGGCATGCCGTTAGAATTCGTGACGCTAAATCACTTTATAAAGAATGTTTCGCTTAGGGATCGTTGATGCAAGTTTGCACGGAGATGGCCGCGGTCACGTTTAAAGTGTCTTCAGATTAAATGTATGGAAGCTCCCCATCATCACGTAAGTAGCAACAACTATTGTGCCAAACAGCAATAAGGTAAGCCAACTCAATCCATTTTACCACTACGCAAGCCCTACAGGCTGCAACTTAGAGAGCCTGCACCTTGCTAACCAATGTTAACGCAGACAAAATCTACACAGTACACCAACCACATGCACTGGCAGTGGCATACGTTACATTGTAACATATCTGACAGTACAGATG